CTTCTTCAGTCTTCTTCATTTGTCCATGTTGGACAAGCGTTTCTTTGTCTAAGTTATTGATTATAGTTGTCTTGGTTTGCAGCCCCACCTACTTTTAGTTTAGATCTTCTGATTCCGTGGGGCAGCCAATCAGAGCTGGCTTTAAAGGACGAACTGAGGGGAGCTTAGCTCAGAGGATTATTATGAACTCTGGATTATGCAAAGCTACTCTGTTAGAATGGGATCCTTGTCTTTCTTCAGCAGCATACAAATAAACATCCAGCGGCTCTAGTGGTAAAATCATCAGAGCATCTTAACAGCTGAACTGCAGCTCACTGTACACATTTTGCTGTTTCAGTAACACGTAGCTGTTTTTGCTGCTGGATGACGCATGTTTTTATTTAAGTAAGCAGCATTTCACTAACTCCACCTCTGTTTAAACTCTGACTACTGTTTCTGTGTGTGTTCAGCAGGCGTGGCGGCTGCTCCAGGTTGAATTAGCCACGCTTGAGGAGTCGTAGACGCTGCAGGCTCGAGCTGTTTAACAGCCCCATAAACAACTGGAGAAGAAATGAAGTAAAAGAAGAGAAAAGTCCTCGTTGCACTGGGGTATTGTTGCTGCTTCTGTTTGTCTCTTTTTTAAAAATGTTGTGTTATGTGACTGTTTGAGTCTCAGGGGAAATGTCAGTGTTTGATAAAGTCCGATTACGTTTGTATCAGTTGCAGAAAATAACAGACACGCTCACTGTTAGCCGGCTTCGCCCATCTTTCTTTCATTTCTTCTCTCTTGTTTCTGTGATCGCCTTCTTTACTTTTTTGTTCCGGGATCTCATCGGAGAATCTGGGATGTGCTTCATGTCTACATTCTTAGTTTACACATAAATTATTTTCTTCTCTGATTTTGTCTCTTAAACTTTGTAATTGTGTTAGTTTTTTCTTCATTTCACCACTCACACTCTTCTCTGTCTCCCTTTTCTTTCTTCTATTTGTTCTTTCCTCTTCTTCTTCTTCTCCATGTAACCCTCCCAATATCACAAACATTCCCTGTCCATGTCCTTTCTTCCTTTGCTTTTCCTTTTTTGTACTTTTTTTTTGTCTTCGTTTCTTGCACGTCTCTAAATCTCCACATTTTGTCACAGTTCTTTTGCTGTGTGTGTGTGTTAGTTAACCAAACATGACATTCAGGAACATTTGCGTGATTGTATCTGTGTGATTATATAAGCACATGAACATAAATTGCAAAGCTGCAGGAATGGAGGTGCATACATTCGAAACATTTCAGAGGTTTTGGTACTTTATTTGATAGAACATGTAAACGGAGTTCAGCAGTGAACAATAATGCCTCAGTGTACTAAAACACTTCAGTATTACTAGTTTTGCTTTGTCACACTC